TCACCGCTCCAACCCCCTTTGCGGACAATCACAGGAAGAATGGAAATACTATTACTGCGGAACTCAACGAAACGTAGCTGTAGAAGACACGATATGAACCAGAAGAATGAAAAAGTTTCGCTCGCCTTTCCTTTGTACTTATAATAAAAGCATTTGTGAAGAAATTCACACTGCACATGCCATCTGGCATCGCTGGAACGAAATATGAGTGCACCCTAATTAAAATCGTAAAATTTCTGACAATGGGCACCGCCATTCACTCCAACTATCACCCCTGCACCGCTGACCCTCATTCCAAAAGAATGTGCTGGTTGGGCGACATAACAGGTTACCGCTACTGTTTATTCCAAAAACATTGTGCGTCTTTCGGTATTAATTTATCTCTAAACCCAGCATTTTAAATTCTCAGAAACGATCATTGCGGGAAAATTGTGGGCCGGGACTAAGATTTTTGAACGATCGATGCGATAAAACGATAGTTCGAGGAACGATAGAAGCGGGAAAATGTAACATTATTTTATATGGGATGTATCAGGGACCGAACAAAACGGACGATGCATCTGGGAAAACGATAGTTCCGGGAACGGTGGATAGAGGTTTCACTGTATAATCTTCTGTTTCTGTTCTCACATTCTGTTTGGTATTGCCAACACTTTTATTTTCCTGTAAGAGGGCAGCACACCTCATTCTGTTGCAGACACAGAAAGCAACTTATTTTTGTGAAATTCTATTGTGGATATCACGTCGTTTGACTTCTCTTTATATCTGATGTCCTGTTGTCGGTACGTCTCATCTGAAGATGGGAGGAGATGCAGTTCAGTCGATCATAGTCCAAATTATTATCAGTACTGAAGCGTGTGTTTATGTTTAGTTACGAGAAATGACAGGATCCATTTCATTGAGAAAGTTATTGGTTTTGTTTCAAGACGTTGTTAGGATGTGGGTGTCATCTGTAAGTACATTGTGTTACATTCCAAGATGGTCAAATGAAGGAAGGTTGCGATGGGAGGAACATGTAGGAGATGAGGAATGCATACAAAATTTTAGTTGGGAAACCCGACGAGAGTAAAGGACTAGAAGAACTAGGCATAAGTGGGAGGATAACATTAAGAGGGATCTTGAAGAAATAGGCTGATGTGCGGGCTTGATTCGTGTTGTCTCAGGGTGGTGTTCTGTGGTGGCTGTTTGTGAATGTATGTATTGTATGTGATAAAGGAAGTTTATTGACCAGCTGAGGCACTATCACTATCTCGGCAAAATTTGTATATCATCTGTTTTATAATTTAACATTGACATTAATTATTTTCAGCTTTGATCTGTTAAAATGAGGCTTGTGTTAAAGTGAGTCTGACCGCATTTGTTTCAGGTGCGGATGTAATGCTGGGAGTGGAAATGTCCTCGACTGGGGAAGTGGCGTGCTTTGGAGAGAATCGCTATGAGGCGTATCTCAAAGCCATGATGAGCACTGGGTTCGAGATACCAAAGAAAGCAATTTTACTCTCAATTGGAAGTTTCAAGGTAGGGTGAAGAGTTTCATCCCCTTGTGATGATATTTTATCAATTTCTGAGCACTATAATAAATTCTTCTTGGGCTATAGCCGTGTCACGTGGTTGAAAGGTGAAAAAACTAATGTTTCGAGAACATTCTTCGCCCTCATCCTCAGGTTACTGATGTGTGGTGGAATAAGTGGTACTGGAGCAGGTTTATTTTCTTAGTTCTTCCATTTTCCCTGCTGGTAATCGTTCAACCCTTGCTCCGTACTCATCTATCACTGCCCCACAAGGTGTGCGATGGCCCTGACCAAGCAGTATGTTATTATACCCTCAGTACTAAGTTGGGGCTTCATCTGTGACAGCTGCTTGGCAGGTCTCGGTTTGAAGGAAGCTTTAATTTATTGCGGTTACTTTCTTTATGACAACTGTCACGTCGAAATACCATGATAGGCCGAGGCATCGTATCACGAACAAGCCATGCAAACCCCACCGACGCCGGGCTCAAATCAGTACGTCAGGCTCGCTCAAACCTGGCTTCTCTAATCCAGACAAAAATCTGCTTCAATGATGGAATTCTGTTGTAGTTTTGAAGACATTGTTTAAATGTGATTACTTTTGATGTCCAGTGGTGGGCTCTCGTGAACGCATTAGTAAAGCCGCCAGATTCTGTGAAAGACGTGGAATTTATTTCCCAGCTGAACGATTGTTAGCCCCTCGACGCAGACTTCGCTTCTTGGCGTAACTTGTGCGCAGAAATACCCACAAAATTAGGTGTATAAAATTTGCATGTGTAATAATATACTCGGTATATTTGGGAATTAATGTATTTTGAGTTGTTTTCTAACTGCGTATGTAATTTCGTTAAACAGATACACAGATAATGTTATGAACAAAATTCTTTCTTTTACTTTTTCCAATTTCTTTGGTTCTGATTGCCCTTCGACCGTAAACCGATTTATTCCCACTGCTGTCAATGTTGCATGGCAGCCGGTTGACATCAAATGAGTAATCGCTGGGCGGTGACTCGGTGATATATAATTGAAGAGATGTGTCGTGTTACATCCTCTTACACTTTCAGCTCTATCTTCTTAACGGCTAGTAATCTACATCCATCAGTCTCATAATAAATATGCATGTTTATTATTTTGGTAGAGTTTATTTTAAAAACGTGGGTGAAGAACAGGTAATTTTTGTGAGTAAATATACATAGTACATAATAAATAAGTAAATATATAAGGATATATGCGCTTAGTGAATAAATGAATAAATCCCTGTTTTAACATTTGTCTTACTTCATGGCTCATATTTCACAATTGTTAAGCTCCTGAGTGATGTATTAAGTTCCGATATACAACGCGAATGTTCATTGCCTTCGATGTTACGTAGCCTTGCGCAGCCACGATTATACACTCTCGAAACTTATTTCATACTACAGCAGGTTTTCGTCTCATCCTTTTCGCCTTTCCCTTATCTGACGCCGTGCTATTTTATATGAATGTGACTGTACCCCCATTAAAGTGTTTATTATCAAACCAACAACTGGCTCTCAGTCCGTTAATGCGCAACATACGCTGCAGTAGCGTTATGTTTCCGTACCAAGTGCTTGAAGAAAGAGCGTCACGAGGGACTTCGAAAGGCTGTGCAGATCTGCGTAACAATAAATTTGAAGACGTTCGACATCCACCCTGTATGTACTGGCCTTGTGGTATACGTCATCAGCTGTTTGCTTTCTTTCTACGCAGCACAAGATGGAGCTTCTTCCCTACATCAGCAGTTTATCAAGGATGGGATATAAACTGTACGCGAGTATGGGCACCGCGGACTTTTACATGGAACACGGCGTGGACGTGAGTACATCTTCATTACATTGTGTTATTCATGTTGATAATGGCTCGCTCTGTTCCCTCTCAACTTGACGTGGCAACAGCGCAGATTTTTCGATGTTATAACCAGTACTGTTGCCATGTGGCGGTACCATTGAGAAGCTAATAGTTGCCCTGCTAGAAATTTTCTCGTGAGTTTTTATGGAACATGAAAGTTCTTTACCATGTTCGTAACAGCCCATCAGTGCGATGGCTGCCCTAAACGAAATGTAACGCAACCGCGCGTGCACTGACAAGAGCGGTATTTGAGCTGGGCTTAATTTGTGGAAGTTGTGAAGCGTAAGTCCGCATTATGAGCTTGAAGTCACTTTTTCTGGATGAAAATTAAAATTAAGAGTTTTATTCATTACGTCACTGTACACACAAAAGCAAATTTTTACACAAAAAAACAATACAAAACTAACAATAATGATATAAATATATTTTTTATTGATATAATGTATAGGAACGTTTGCCTTCTCGATTTATTAGAAGCTGAAGTACTTGTATTTGAATGCAAGTAATATCAGTTAACCATTTTACTTGAAGATGGATGTCTTCTTTAGACTCGCCGCAATGAAAACCTCAAATCCTACAACCATTTTACTTATTTACCAGTTTATTCCATGGTTTTATAGTCTCTGAAGGACCTTGACCTCCTCACACATGAGAGGTTTCCCAAGTTATGTAGACATTTGGTAGGACTCCTTGGACGAGTTATCAGTCTGTCGCAAGGCCTCTACCTGGACGCAGGACAGCACGACACAGAAAGACGCGGACAAGCATCCATGCCTCGAGTGGGTTTTGACCCCACGGTCGTAGTATTTGTATGATCGAGGCCTATGCCCCAGTCTGTGCTGCCACTGCTCCCGTAAAAAAAGAATCTGCGTCAGACTGCGGAAATTATCCTCCACCACGGTTTGGCACAGAAAAGTCTTAACAGTTTGCAAGTCCGAACGCTTGAAAGTGTGTAATGAGCGCTATGATAGTTTTCAACAAAACCTGTGTTAATGGGAGGCGCTGGAGATTGAATTTGTGACAGTTCCCGAAAAATATGTTGATTTGAACTGTCCTAATAGAAGGTGAACACAACTTATCTGAGCAATTGCAGATATTTATTTAACGAGTAATCAGCATACAGAAATGAAATTTAACACCATTTAAAGAATTTGTAGCATGCGGGGAAGTGTCGTAATGCCAATGACGGCCACTATTATCGCACGTGTTGATGTGGCAGTAAAATGGTGACTGAGCACGAGAGTGTTTTGTACACTTCAGTCCTATTCCAAAAAAAAAAAGCCTCTGATGACTTTTCAACAAGGTTTTTGGAGGATGTTCCATAAAAGTGCTCCATGCGCAAACTGGGTTTACTTTATTCGGTTGAGTCATCATTTTTACTCTGTCAACAGCTGAACCTCTATCGTCCACTTCTGCCACATGCTGCAAAAGAGAAGTTTGAAGTTTTCCTCTGGTGTAATTTTCATTCATGTGTGTCTTTAATTTTTGTTGAATATTTTAAACTGCCCAGATCACTTTTGTTCGCTCTGAATTTTGAACCTCGGTGTGCTTGAAAACCCTTTCTTAAAAATCAGTCCCAGATAGTAATATTACAATTGTTTTTGTTATCCAAGAAAACAGGATAAGTCCATTTTAAATGTTTTCTGTTTTTTCAGCAACTGTAGTGCTGCTGTGAAAGCTCGAAGCTATAAATGTGGCTTCGTTTATGAATACTTGTGAATATATTTGTCTTTTCAGAGAATGAAGCGCAAAGAACATTTTGCGCATTGCTGAATTTTTTAAGTCGGTACTTAGTTCTTTTCTGAGCTGCTTCATAGATATACCGTAATGTTTCTTGGGCACTGCAACTCAACATATTTAAAATAAAATCCTTTTTAATATCTTTACTCATGCCCCTGCGATGGGACCGTGTGTTCTTGAGACACTTCAGCCGTTGTATGCCGGCATCCGGCGAGTGTTGCTCGCTGTAGTTTTGTAATCACACTCTTGCTGCAGTGGTACCTAAAAGTCTGTAGATTCGGCTGTAACCGCCTCATTTAGCACGACAGTCGAGGACAGAGGTGGGCTGCCTGTCACTTCAAATCTGATTGGCGGGCTGGGGGAGTACCTAGGAGTTGCTTGGCTCATTTTATTTCTAATTGGTTCATGAACAGTTGCAACTGTTGTAATGTTTGTTTTTGAGAGTGACTGTTGTTTAGAATTTTTGGCGTAAGGCAACGGATCGTTTAATATTACAGGTTTCTTTAATATCGAATGAAGATTGTTGGTGGGTAGTTCCATTTTCACTCGAAAAGGATTTGCGGTTTTGAATATCTCTCCTTGAGAAGACGCTGCTTGGGTCATATCGCCTGTGCACTGTTCTTTCTTTGTCTGGGCGAATGTCGCCGTCGAGTCTGCCGGTCTGGGTGACGCTCCTCGGAATGGTCCCGATGAACTTCCCGCCGTGTACGTTGATTCTTCCCCTATCGCTTCGCGCAAGGTCTTTGTCTCAAATGAGTACTTCCATGCCTTAGACTCCCCACCATCACATTCACGAAGCAATCTGATGAGACGTTCTGTGTGCTGAAGGTAAAATCTGGCCTGGCGTGTTGCTCGGAATGAATTGCTTTTCTTAGCGATGTCTATAAAATGTGGTATGAAGAATTCTAGTAATGCCATCTTCCTCATTTCATCTGCTCCCTTTGTTGACTGTAGCTGAATGAAGGTAAAAGAAATATTCTTTTTAGTAAACAATTAACTGTGTCATGTGAGTTATGTAAATTTGTAACTGATATCAATGTACAAAATTTGATGGAAAGAATGGCTGAAGTTTAAATTAGAATTACTTTTCAACTGCTTAAGGTACGGCAATGAAACCAGCTGCGTTTTTTTTTCCCCACTTCTAAAATTCATGAGCTATGAATGAGATGGTCCATAAGTGAATGTGTCTCGCTCTCTAATCATGGAAGATGAAATTTCGGGTCCCTTACTTCACCATGAGCAAACTGTAACAAGTAAAGTGTTCTTGGATGTGCTGTAGGACTACTAACCAGATGGCTTACG